TTTTTTTATTTTTTCAAGGCATTAAAAAAGCATTGTAATTGGATTTTTCTTGATTTTATTTTTTAATATGAATTTTTAAATAATATTTGACTTCAAAAAAATATTTTTTTTAGACGACCAAAGGAGAATTTTTATGTTCTTAGCATTTTTGCATTTTTAAAAATCTCATCAAGTGGTGTGGCTGACCACTGGTTATTTGGGTTAACTGATCTCCCTTGGAGTGCATTGATTTCGAAATAAAATAATTTCGACAACAAGAGACGAATTTAGACATGAAATTATATCCAATATTAGAATCTTATTACATACCACCCAAAGTTTTTTTTTATAGTTTGTTTAAATTCAAAACTAAAAAAAAAAAACAAAAAAATATTCCAAATTTTTTCACAGATTAGGCAACAGTGAAAGAGCGAACAAATATGAAATTAATAAATGTTCAAAAGGTATTGTTTATTTTCAGATATGGAAAATAAACAAGATTTTATGGCTTCCAATAAAATGTTGCTGTTGTGCACTGTACACAACAATAACAAAATTCGGGTGGTCTATGCAATGCACTGGACTGGGCTGCCTGCTGGCAATTCACCCAGTTCCAAGAGAGATTACAGCTGATGATAGAAGCGTGATAACGGGTAGGTGGGCTGATGGTGGTTAGGTACCATTTGTCCCAAATTAAAACAGAAGGTGTTTTCACCTGGACCCAGCCACAAAGGGGTCGGCCTCCCTATCATAAAATCAACAACACAAACCAATAACCACAACAAATTTCAAAATTTATGAGTGACAAATTGAAAATGTCATGTCACGACAAGAGGTGTATCACACCAAATGTTTGTAATAAAATATTGACATTTTCAAGTATTTATTTGACAGTTTAATAAGTTTTTTTTTTTTATTTTATTTTCAAAATTGATTTTTTTATTGCTGTTCAAAGATCTGTTTACAAGCGATAGTGTAAAAGTGAAATGTAATAAAAGGGGGGAGAAATTAAAGGCAACACTATCATCTCAGGTGTGTTGACTGATAAGTGAAAGTTTTTGGTGAGGGGAGAGAAAATTAAAAACACAAAATTAATGTTGGTTTAAAACGAAGGTGTTAAAAATAAATATTGAAAACTACACTAGATATCGATCTATGATATCAGTTACAAATTAAATGTTTAATTTGATAAAATTTTGAAATAAAATAGATTTTTTTGTGAAGAAAAAAAAAGACAGAACAAATGAATTAAAAAAATTGAGAAAAAAATTTAAATTTGAAATTTAATGAAAAAATAAAAAAAGAACATGTTTGTAGTCCTAAAATTCCTTGACGAAAAAAAAAATAAATAAAATTATCTTTAGGTATTCTAATATTCTTCGAAGAATTATTATTTAAATATCCAATTTTACAGATCTGAAATTCTTTAAAAAAGCTAAAATCCACCTTCAGAGGCATACTATTTATTGAAAAATATTTTTTAAAAATTTCTTTTATTTTTTTTTTTAAATGTACGTTTGGGCCTTATATGCCTTAAAAATATATTCTTAAAAAATTCACTGTTATGGGTCTGTTATTCCATGTTTAGAGGCCTGGCGTTCGCTTAAAATTATTCTTTAAAATCCATGTTTCACTATCCGGAATTATTTTACAGAATAGTCCGAAAAATCCAGTATTTTTGGAACATATATTCTCAGACAACTTAGAAAGTATCAGTGTGATTGCCAACAGATTTATGCCGTCGGCATATACACATATATGGACTAAACTTTCGAGGTTCTATAAGAATTAGACCGATATTACCATCTTCGCACCACCTAAAATTGAGATGAGAATTGAAATAGTCTATTCATTGGCATTTCTTCGATTTGAGGTAAAATTACTTGAATATTTCCCCCGAACTGGAATATTTCTACCCATATATATAAGTCCCGATTTACGCTGAAGGCGGAATTAATATGTATGTGGATTTCCGCTTTAAATGTTATATTTTTAATAAATCTGTAAAAAAAGAAAAATGGGCCACTCAAGGTCCAATTTTTGAATAACCTCTCATTTTTTTAAGGGTTTAATTTTCACCAGCTCAAGGACATTCAGGCTGAAAAATTGTGTGTGAATTTTGTTATAAAGTTTTCTGGGCAAACATAACTAAGTTTTTTTTTTTTTTTTTAATGGAATATTATACCCTCAGATATATGACTACAGGGGATATATACCATTTCACATGGCCAAAACGTGCCTTGTCGAAATATCGGTTTTAGACCCTACGCGTCTTTGGACCAAATCCGTTTCGGGACATTTGGAATCGATCTAGCGATGCCTGTCCATCCGCCCGTCCGTCCGTCTGTCTGGCTGGTAAATTACTGCACAGAAAGAGAAAGGTTAATCAAAATTTTCTCCAACATCAGTGCTAGGTCATGTGTCAAAATTTGGAATAATTTTAACTCATATAAAATGTGAAATAATATCCCAATTGCATTCAAATTTCGCACATCCCAATATTTCTACCAACAATGATCTGGTTTGAAGACGGAATATATCTGACTTCTCCTTCTGGTATCTACCCAATAATGGGAGAAAATGTTGAATAATTATAACTCTAATAAAATGCAAACCTAGACAACGATTAATTTCAAACATTGTATATCACAATAAATTTAAAAATCAAAAATCTGATTTATCTTCTGATACCTTCCCAAAAAGGGGAAAAGGGCTGGAAAACCACAAGTGGCAATCGTTAGAGCATTCCAGCATTTAAATGTGAATAAATCTTTTGTGTCTCGTATCATCGCTCGTTATCGTGATACTGGTAGCGTAGCCCGATTTCAAGGAAGTGGACGGAAGAAAACAACAACATCAGCAGAAATGGTTCGAAAAGTAAAGAAACGAAACCCGCGTCGCAGTGACCGAAAAATGGCTCGTGAGCTGAACATATCGCAATATTCGATTCGGCAAATATTGAAAAATGAGCTCGGGCTTAAGCCATTGAAATTCCAATTCCAAAAAGTGCAGGAACTTACACCGCAATAGAAAGAAAATAGACTCAAAAGCACTAAAGGGTTGCTTCGCTTGGCCGAAAGTGGTGAACTGCCGAATTTGGTTTTCTCCGTTCTCCGATGAGAAAACATTCGTTCGTTGTCCAGCAGTTAGTAAACAAACAAAATGATCGTGTTTACTTGCCAAACAGGTCAGCTGCAAATGTGCACATTCGGTTGGCCACCAGAACTCAAGCGCTGGCCATGGGGATGGTGTGGGCCGCCATAACAGCCGATGGTCGCTTTGCGCTTGTATTAATCGACCGTAGATTTAGAATAATACCGAATATTATTGGGAAAATATTCTGGAGGGTGTATTATAGCCTTGGGCACGCAAACATTTTGGCCGCAGACCTTGGACAGTCCAATAGGACTCAGCACCATCGCACTTAGCACGCGCCACCAAAGGATGGTTACAAAATGAGGTTCCTCGCTTCATTTCCAGCCCACAATGGCCACCAAAATCTCCAGATACCAATCCGTTGGAGTATTGTGTCTGGAGTATTGTGGAAAGCAAGGTAGACACTAAAAAATACCAAAGTGTCGATCACCTTAAGCAAGCAAGCACTTCACCGGGAATGGGCCAAAATACTTCAGAGCAACATTCGGGCAGCGTGTGACGGTTTCATTGGCCGTTTGAAGGCCATAATTCGTGCCAAATGTGACCAATTCGAACAAATCTAAGCTTATTCTAAAATTTGATGCTATTTCCGACATTTTTTTGCTTTCATTCATGAAATTAAAAAAAAAAATAGTTTACCCTGTATATATACTTTGTGGGGTCAAAAATGTATATTTCGAGGTGTTACAAACGGAATGACGAACTTTATATACCCCTCATACTATGGTGGAGGGTATAAAAATAGATTACATGGAATGTATGGAGATCAGACCTCTAAGAAATTATAAATATTTCTCCATTATTAGGACTTTGGTCCTTTCTGAACGAAGTTTTAGAGTTCAGAAAATCTCCCAGAAAAAAATTTCCTTTTTCAGAACACATTGTGACAGTGCCATATTTCCTTTAAAATCTGACTACTTGAAGAAATTGCAACAAATTGTAAAGAAAAAGGATTTCCTTTAATTTTCTAATTTGGATCGGAAGGTGATAATCCAGGGCATTACAAAATCCATAAGAAAATTCACAAAAACTCCAAGACATCTTTAAATAATAAAAGATTTATTTATCACTACACATTTTAAAACTATCTCAAATATCTCAATATTTCCGTATTGAGATATAAATCATTTCAGTTTTGAGATAAAAAAAACCCAAAACATGAACAAAGCCAACCGATTAATAAATTATTTTGTTTCATTATTGTTCGTTCCCCCCTAAAAGTAATAATTCGATTAACACTCCTTTTGTTTCACCCCCTCCCCTAAATTTTGAACACTTCCCCATTTGCTGAAGAACTGTGTCAAATTTAAAACAAATTAATCATCGATAAATGGACAATGTTCGCTCTTCATATCGGATTGGGGATATAACTCACGAACATAGCTAATATTTGAACTATTTATCTGTCAACTTGCTCTCCTCCACCCCCCCTACAGGCACTCAAGAAAAACATTTGACTGTTATCAAAATCATAAATGTTTTAACGCTTTTCCACCACTTGGCATGCGTTGGTTATCCGATTAAAAAGGGTTTTTGGGCGAATTATCTTTTTGTGTCACCATAAATTACAACAAAATAAACAACCATTTGGGAAATGATGAATTTTCATTGTTTCCAAAAATCAGAGGAGGGGGGGGGGGAAGTAGTGGGGGATAACACTTCATAATTTATGATATATGACATAAATTGGTTTTTTGATAAAAAAATATCCCCTCACCCTTCTTCGTATCATTAAAATGAGTTATGACTTTTAAGTCATCATTGCAATCCGATTTGAAATCCATTCAAGTTAATGTTTGAAAATCATAATTGTATTCCATGACTGTTGATAGTAATAATTAATGAATTGAATTTCCAATACTTACTTGAACATCTTTGATATACATGTTGTTCGTATGAATGACCACAGCACTGAAATTTCGTACGCCAGCGAATTCAAATGTGATTTCGACGGGACGACCCTGTAAGTTGGGGGTATCATTGCGCCAGCCAACCCATTCATAACCTGAAAAAGAAACACATATTTCATTAAAACACATTTTGTAGCTATAATAGTCCTTTAAAAAACGATTTAAAAAATCCGCGTTTGTGCTAGACCTCAGAAAATAATTATTTAAAAAATCCGCGTTTGTGCTAGACCTCAGAAAAAAAATTATTTAAAAAATACACGTTTGTGCTAGACCTCAGAAAAAAATTATGTAAAAAATCCACGTTTGTCCTAGACCTCAGAAAAAATTATTTAAAAAATACACGTTTGTGCTAGACCTCAGAAAAAATTATTTAAAAAATCCACGTTTGTTCTAGACCTCAGAAAATTTTTTTTTAAAAAACCATGTTTTGTCCTAGACCTCAGCAAAAAAAAAAAAAAAAATTGAAAAATCCACGTTTGTCCTAGACATCTGAAAAAAAAAATATTTAAAAAATCCATGTTTTGTCCTAGACCTCAGCAAAAAAAAAAATATTTAAAAAATCCATGTTTTGTCCTAGACCTCAGCAAAAAAAAAATATTTAAAAAATCCACGTTTGTCCTAGACCTCAGCAAAAAAAAAATTTAAAAAATCCACGTTTGTCCTAGACCTTGGAAAAAATTATTTAAAAAATCCACGTTTGTCCTAGACCTTGGAAAAAATTATTTAAAAAATCCACGTTTGTCCTAGACCTTGGAAAAAATTATTTAAAAAATCCACGTTTGTCCTAGACCTTGGAAAAAATTATTTAAAAAATCCACGTTTGTCCTAGACCTTGGAAAAAATTATTTAAAAAATCCACGTTTGTCCTAGACCTAGACCTAGGAAAAAATTATTTAAAAAATCCACGTTTGTCCTAGACCTTGGAAAAAATTATTTAAAAAATCCACGTTTGTCCGAGACCTTGGAAAAAATTATTTAAAAAATCCACGTTTGTCCTAGACCTAGACCTAGGAAAAAATTATTTAAAAAATCCACGTTTGTCCTAGACCTTGGAAAAAATTATTTAAAAAATCTACGTTTGTCCTAGACCTTGGAAAAAATTATTTAAAAAATCCACGTTTGTCCTAGACCTTGGAAAAAATTATTTAAAAATCCACGTTTGTCCTAGACCTTGGAAAAAATTATTTAAAAAATCCACGTTTGTCCTAGACCTTGGAAAAAAATATTTAAAAACTCCACGTTTGTCCTAGACCTTGGAAAAAATTGTTTAAAAAATCCACGTTTGTCCTAGACCTTGGAAAAAAATTATTTAAAAAATCCACGTTTGTCCTAGACCTCAGAAAAAAATTATTTAAAAAATCAGCGTTTGTACTGGACCCTTGAAAAAAATTATTTAAAAAATCCGCATTTGTCCTAGACCTCGGAAAAAATTAATTAAAAAACCACGTTTGTGCTAGACCTTAGAAAAAGTTATTTAAAAATCCACGTTTGTCCTTGACCTTGGAAAAAATTATTTTAAAAATCCACGTTTGTCCTAGACTTCAGAAAAAATTATTTTAAAATGCACGATTGTCCTAGACTTTAGGAAAAATTATTTAAAAAATCCACGTTTGTCCTAGACTTGAGGAAAAATTATTTAAAAAATCCACGTTTGTCCTAGACCTTGGAAAAAATTATTTAAAAAAACTACGTTTGTCCTCGACCTCAGAAAAAATGTTTTAAAAAATCCACGTTTGTCCTAGACCTCAGAAAATTTTATTTAAAAAATCCACGTTTGTCCTAGACCTCAGAAAATTTTATTTAAAAAATCCACGTTTGTCCTAGACCTCAGAAAATTTTATTTAAAAAATCCACGTTTGTTGTATTCCTTGGAAAAAAAAATTATTTAAAAAATCCACATTTTTTGTAGTCCTTGGAAAAAATTATTTAAAAAATCCACGTTTTGCCATCCTTTCATTTTGGCTTCAACACCTTTTGAATTCCACGCCCTCAATAATTGTCCCTGCATTCGAAATCGTAAAAGGAAATTACAAAAATTATCCCAGCCACATATTTACTCAAAACTAATTTATTATTCAGCAAAATATGTCTATTTCCCACACAATTCCATTATTTATGGCAGCCAGTCGATGAACTAGAAAAACCAGAAACAGCAAAAAAAAACAATCAACAACTTCTTCTCTCTTTAAATGGAAATTATTTCACATAAACAATGCAAATTGCCAATAATTCAGATAAACAAAAGGACACATAAAACAATTACAACAATTACCGGTATTTGTTTTAGCGTTGCGTTGTTGTTGTGGCTGTGTTTGAAAATGTCCTGCAGTTGTTTTGTCCGTTTGTCCTAGACCTTGGAAAAAATTATTTAAAAAATCCACGTTTGTCCTAGACCTAGACCTAGGAAAAAATTATTTAAAAAATCCACGTTTGTCCTAGACCTTGGAAAAAATTATTTAAAAAATCCACGTTTGTCCGAGACCTTGGAAAAAATTATTTAAAAAATCCACGTTTGTCCTAGACCTAGACCTAGGAAAAAATTATTTAAAAAATCCACGTTTGTCCTAGACCTTGGAAAAAATTATTTAAAAAATCTACGTTTGTCCTAGACCTTGGAAAAAATTATTTAAAAAATCCACGTTTGTCCTAGACCTTGGAAAAAATTATTTAAAAAATCCACGTTTGTCCTAGACCTTGGAAAAAATTATTTAAAAAATCCACGTTTGTCCTAGACCTTGGAAAAAAATATTTAAAAACTCCACGTTTGTCCTAGACCTTGGAAAAAATTGTTTAAAAAATCCACGTTTGTCCTAGACCTTGGAAAAAAATTATTTAAAAAATCCACGTTTGTCCTAGACCTCAGAAAAAAATTATTTAAAAAATCAGCGTTTGTACTGGACCCTTGAAAAAAATTATTTAAAAAATCCGCATTTGTCCTAGACCTCGGAAAAAATTAATTAAAAAACCACGTTTGTGCTAGACCTTAGAAAAAGTTATTTAAAAATCCACGTTTGTCCTTGACCTTGGAAAAAATTATTTTAAAAATCCACGTTTGTCCTAGACTTCAGAAAAAATTATTTTAAAATGCACGATTGTCCTAGACTTTAGGAAAAATTATTTAAAAAATCCACGTTTGTCCTAGACTTGAGGAAAAATTATTTAAAAAATCCACGTTTGTCCTAGACCTTGGAAAAAATTATTTAAAAAAACTACGTTTGTCCTCGACCTCAGAAAAAATGTTTTAAAAAATCCACGTTTGTCCTAGACCTCAGAAAATTTTATTTAAAAAATCCACGTTTGTCCTAGACCTCAGAAAATTTTATTTAAAAAATCCACGTTTGTCCTAGACCTCAGAAAAAAATTATTTAAAAAATCCACGTATGTCCTAGATCTTGGAAAAATTATTTAAAAAATCAACGTTTGTTCTAAACCTCTGAAAGAATTATTTTAAAAATCCACGTTGGATAAGGTCTTTGTAGGAATCTTCAATGGATTAATTTTGCCATCCTTTCATGTTGTATTAAACACCTTTGGTATTCAACGCCCTCAATAATTGTCCCTGCATTCGAAATCGAAAAAGGAAATTACAAAAATTATCCCAGCCACATATTTACTCAAAACTAATTTATTATTCAGCAAAATATGTCTATTTCCCACACAATTCCATTATTTATGGCAGCCAGTCGATGAACTAGAAAAACCAGAAACAGCAAAAAAAAAACAATCAACAACTTCTTCTCTCTTTAAATGGAAATTATTTCACATAAACAATGCAAATTGCCAATAATTCAGATAAACAAAAGGACACATAAAACAATTACAACAATTACCGGTATTTGTTTTAGCGTTGCGTTGTTGTTGTGGCTGTGTTTGAAAATGTCCTGCAGTTGTTTTGTTGCCTACAAAATATAAACCATTATCCTTTAAATAAACATTTGCTTTGTGAGCGTATGAGTGTGTGTGTGTTGGAGTGTGTTATAATTTGTATTGGTATTTGTGTGAGTGCCACTGCCAGGCAACAAACGCCATTAACAAAAGGCAATAATCATCTTTGTACAATGTATAAATAAATAAATATTGACTTTAATTGATGGTAGAATTTTCTTTCCTTGGGATTTTTTTCTTACCAAGGAAGCCATGTGATTCGGATTCAAGGGGATTCTAAAGAAATAAGCTTGTTTAATTAGCTGACAATCTTACAAGGAAGTCTTTGAATATTTTTAATGAACTTATTTATTATTCATGAAAATATGAAAAAAAAATAATTTACAGCGCTGGGAACTCATCATTTGAGACTACAAATAATATGTTGCGTCTTTTCAAGGACTAAAACAGGCGTGGATTGTTTGAAGAATATTTTTTCAAGGACTACAACAGACGTGGATTTTTAAAGAATATTCTCCAAGGACTAAAACAGGCATGGATTTTTTGAAGAATATTTTTTCAAGGACTATCGAAGGCGTGGATTTTTTGAAGAATATTTTTTCAAGGACTAAAACAGGCGTGGATTTTTGGAAAAATATTTTTTCAAGGTCTAAAACAGGCGTGGATGTTTTTGAAAAATATTTGTTCAAGGACTAAAGCAGGCGTGGATTTTTTGAAGAATATTTTTTCAAGGACTATGGAAGGCGTGGATTTTTTTAAGAATATTTTTCCAAGGACTATCGAAGGCGTGGATTTTTTGAAGAATATTTTTCAAGGACTATCGAAGGCGTGGATTTTTTGAAGAATATTTTTTCAAGGACTAAAACAGGCGTGGATTTTTGGAAAAATATTTTTTCAAGGTCTAAAACAGCCGTGGATGTTTTTGAAAAATATTTGTTCAAGGATTAAAACAGGCATGAATTTTTTGAAGAATATTTTTTCAAGGACTATCGAAGGCGTGGATTTTTTGAAGAATATTTTTTCAAGGACTAAAACAGGCGTGGATTTTTGGAAAAATATTTTTTCAAGGTCTAAAACAGGCGTGGATGTTTTTGAAAAATATTTGTTCAAGGACTAAAGCAGGCGTGGATTTTTTGAAGAATATTTTTTCAAGGACTATGGAAGGCGTGGATTTTTTTAAGAATATTTTTCCAAGGACTATAGAAGGCGT